CAGGAGCTGGGGGCCAGGCGCCTGCCAGAACGACAGCTATAAAGGCAAAGAGGGGATAGGGATTGCATCTGACACAGATGCAGTAGATCCTGCCTCACCTCACAAAAGCCCTGGGACAAGGAGAAGATGCTGGGGCTCCAGTCGTGGCCTTGCTTGCTTTTCCTCTTCCCAGTTCTGCTCTCTGCCAGCGTTCAATCTGTGTCCTTACCAGGACAGAGGCTACAGGTAGGAGGGACTGGGACAGAGCTGAGGGAGGTTTCAGGAGTGGCAAAAGCAATTTGGGGAGGTCGTGTTTGAACTTGGAATGAGCGGTGATCCCGAATTCCAGCAGCCAGAGGCTGCTGTCTATTCTCACTGCTCCCTTCCCTTCAGCCCATCAGCCTCAGCTCTAGGTTGACTGGATCTTTATGACTCAGCTCCTGGAGAAGCATCAGCATTTCAAGGTAAGGAGACAGAAAAAAAGCTTTTCAGTGCTCTTTGGTATGGGGGAGCAGGCTGACTGTGGGGCTCCCCATGTTGCCTGCAGAGGCTTTTAACTGTAAAGAGACTGGCACTAACTGAGCCCTATGGCACTAACTGAGCCCTATGACAGCAGTGATCAGAAGTTACAATCACGCCCCTTGCATTAAACGACAAGCAGGTATGTGGAGGGATTTCAGTATAAAATGCAATCAACTTCAACAAGTACTGTAACTGGTAGCTATCCACCATGTTCAGTGACCTGGTTCTGACACATTTCAGAGGGAGGGTGCACCCTATTAGTTTGGGATTTCCTCTCCTAAGCTCAGTACTGCTCCACTGCAGCCCCTCTTTCAGGGCCAAGAGCCCCTCTGCATATGTATGTATCAGGACACTAGCTAAGGGCTTCTTCACTTTGGTAAATCTTTTACTCTCATCCACTGCAGAAACACTGCTTATAGCTTTCAAGTCTTCCCAGCTCCCTCTTACCCAAATCCTACCCTGAGCCTCAATGCTTTGTGCTAACATTGCCTTGACCATGTGGTTCAAGAAGAAAAGCTACAGTAAATTATTTAGGATGTGAGCTAAAAAAAAAACCAAGACTGATTCTGTTCTGACTCATCGCGCAGACGCTTTCTGAAGATGCCTTCGTCTGCTTCAGTAAACTCGCTACAGAAAGGGATGGAGCTGAACCAAAGGCTCTTCAGCCTTAAGTCAGTGTCCATGCGGGGAACAGATATGGAACGGCTACTGCAGGCTGCTTCCCTGCGCAATACTGCCAGATACTGGGTCATTAGCGCCTCTGGGCCCAGCGCACCTCCTGACCTTTGCCTCTCAGCAGCCAAAGGCCGCCAGCAGTGATTGAGGGCTATAATCAGCACATCTCCACCTGCCCAGAAAGGCTAAAGACTCCCCAGTGGATGAGGAGCCCCCTTCTTCACAGCTGCTGCTGTGACACTGCCATTCCTGCCCCTCTTTAGCACCAGGTATTTCGGGTAGATCCATTCACCCCCACCCCCACCCCCAGCCCTCTGGGAAAACAAAGGGCCAGAAAACAGTCTGAGCACATGGAAGAATAAACAGCAGCTCAGCATCAGCAAGAAGACCAAGGACTGAAGACTCAAATTACTTTCCAAGTACAGGGGGACCTGTCTGACAACAGCAAGGCAAGCAACTCGCACACAGAGGCCTAAACCAGCTTCCTACTTCGGACAGAGAAATCATTGCAGACCGTAGGAGTAGCTGGTCTAGCCCTTCCCTTGGGGATCCCCATGCCTGAATACGTCACAAACACAATGCCTCGTGTACAGACACCATTTAAGTCCTGCCTGCATCCTAGGGAAGATTTGGGGCAGCAGGACAGCAGGCTTTGGGCACATTGGGTTATCACCAGGAGAGAGAAATGAGACACAGGAGCACAGGCAATACCATTCTCACCCTTGCCTCCTCTCTGTTTATCCCACCTTCCCAGATGTTTCTTTCCCAGTTGCTGCCCCTGGACTCTGAATCCATGCTGGCTGAAGAGGACATGAAGGAAGGGTCCAGCTTTGGACCTCCGTTGCTCTCCTCCACCCTCCCTTTCCTCCCATCTGGGGCCAGAACTGCCCGACTCTCGCTCTGGCGCAAGACCCTGGCCAATCGCAAGTGGGCACTGGCTGGAGATTGGGCCTGGAAGGCCATGCCCAGGGGCTGCTTTGGACTGAAAATGGACCGGATTGGGACCTTCAGTGGTTTGGGGTGTTAGCCTTGGAGAAACTCTGAGGTGAGAGAGACAGCAGCGAGGGCAGCAGAGAAGCAAGGGGGGACTCCAGAACATAAACCATAGGGAGAACCAGGAACAGGGGGACCTGGGCAACAGGGAAGCAAGCTGAACCCAGGGGCTGATGGGGCACAGCGGGACACCGCCTGACTGCTGGTGGGCCAAAGTCAGAGAGCTGGGCTGCTACTACATGAGAGTAGTGACCTCTGGGCTACCAGCCCTCGGAGTCTGGGTGGTGAACAGGGAGCAGGTGGGTTGCACGCTGCCACGAGGCTCACAGGCATTGCTTTTGCACAGGCACAGGAGACTGAAGCGTCTGGAGAACCTGCTTGGGACAAAATGGGGATGAGCATGGCATGCCCACCGCTGAAGCCCTAAAACCCCTGCCCTAGGCTGCTGGCTGAAGGACCGCTGCAGCAGGGAAGTTATGAAGTGGTGCAAAGCGGGCTGAGCACAGGGGTTGTCCAGCTCTGCTACCGCCTGGAGCCCCAGGACCCCTCCCAGGCGTGTGCCGCCCCCCTCTCTGCTCGGCTAGCAGGTCCCGCTGCCCAGCTGGCAGGGGCTCACAGGCCTTGGCTGTTCTCTCTCCTGCCATTTGTGCTTAAGAACTGACTTGCTAATTAAAAAGAGCTGTATTGTTTGTTTGTCTCGTCCAGACTCTGCAGCATTTGCCCAAACCCCACAGCAGCACCACCTCCGCAGCAGCGACCTCGGCTGTTGTCAGGCCTCCGGTTTGTGGACAAGCGAGAGGCAGGCCAGGGACGATGCCTTTCCCCGCCGCCCTGGCACCCGCCGGCT